AAATGAAACGAAACATGAAAGAGAAGAAGAAGATAATACAAACGCTTTCATTCATAAGATACAGTAAACAAGCAGCATTGATACATCGTCTCATACTTTACACACAAATTGACATCTTAACACATACATACACACACACACACATGGAGAGAAGAGAATTACACTTCGCAAAGGAAATTAAAAAAAAAAAGTGATGAAAAACAGCGGGCATCTTAGGAAGACCGGCCGCTCTTGAATGGGATGGCTCGGATGATAATCTGGTGGTACACGGCCGCAAGAGCAGCTCCAATGAAAGGTCCCACCCAGAAGATCCACTGAGAGAGAAATAAACAGCAGTTTGGATCAGAAAAGTTGCATTAAAATTCAAAGTTACTACTGTAATTGTGAGGCTTGAAAGCTTACGTGGTCGTCCCACGCATGGTCTCGGTTGTAAATGATGGCGGCTCCGAGGCTCCTGGCAGGGTTGATGCCAGTGCCGGTTATAGGGATGGTGGCCAAATGAACCAAGAATACGGCAAACCCAATTGGAAGAGGAGCCAAAATCTGTGAACAAAAATTAAACACTCAAAACACCACACAGGAGAGGAATAATATCTTCAAACTCCAAGACCAGAAGCAAAACTTTGAAGATTTTCACATATGTCTATCCACATTAAACTAGCAAAGACTTAAGATAATACACAAAAGCGATGGATACCAAAATCATAAGGCCATAGCATTTAGTTAATGTAAATTAGTTCCAACACAGCTGACTTCATCAAGAGAGAACAAAAATTTCAAAAAATCTAATTAAGCTGGTGATAGATAAAGTCGAAGCAAAAACGCGACAAAAAAGAAAACATACGGGAACGTGCGAGTCTCTTGCGCTTCTCTTGGCATCGGTAGCTGAGAAGACGGTGTAGACAAGAACAAAGGTGCCGATGATTTCGGCACCAAGCGCAGAGCCCTTGGTGTATCCATGGTTCACAAAGTTGGCCCCGCCATTAAGAGCCTGATAAGGTCCCTCCATGTAGCCCTTCACCACCCCGGCCCCACAAATGGCGCCGAGGCACTGCATCACTATGTAGAATAGGGCCCTTGTCAAAGATAGCTTTCTAGCCAGGAACAAACCAAAGGTCACAGCCGGGTTGATGTGCCCTCCTGTTCATCAACATCAGAGTAAAATAAGGAATAACAATTAACTTTTGACATAAATTACCCACTGATTATATCTTTTTTTCTTGTAATTAATTTTCTGTAGCTAGGCCAAAAAATCTAAAGGGTCTGTCTCTATTCTCTTAAGAGTGCCTCTTGGTATGCACAACAACAAGTTCTTGATGGGATGCATTAACAAGAAGCCTCTTGAAACTACCACAACATTTAACCTATCAATTCCACAACACATAAACATACCTCCCGGAAAAATATCATAAGGATTATAACCACACAAAGGAAATACTACAGTCCCATTACGGAACCATTCCGTTGGGATTTGTAACCGTTAAATCATCATGTAAATGTCGTAGATAGTTGATCCAACGGTTATAAATCCGGACTGAATGGTTCCGTAACGGGACCGTCAAGACCACTGAACAGAAAACAGCCTGATGTGGTCGTTAGTAGCGGCTCATGAAGGACCGGGTGTGATCCGGGTTCTAGTCGCACTCAGCCGGGTGGTCCAATCTGGTAGGCGCAGTTCATGGTACATTTAGGGTACATGGTCGGGTAGGCAAAAGTTCTGGTGGGCATAGCCCATGGTACCTTTGGAGTATATGGGTGGTCGGCGGAGGCCAGTTACGTGGGTGGTCGGCGGAGGCTAGTTACGTGGGTGGTCGGCGGAGCCTAGCTCAACGTGGACTAGGTAGCACCCGGGCACCTAAGTAGCTGGACGTCCCATTGAGGTGACCAGAGCCCAAAGAGGGTATCATACTCAAGTCATAAAGAGGTTCGTAACCTCAAGGACTCTTGGAATTTTGACCTAATCTGAGGAGAAGACTCATGGTATGATAAGAACTCTACAGCCTCTACATGTCTTCATATATAAAAGGGGCGCAGGTTATTTCATTTA